GCCAAGCGGCAAAGTTTATCTTTAATAAAGATTTTAAACATGATGTGTCAAAACAAATATTTGCAAGATGGAAAGCATTATTGGCTCCATTCAAGTTTGAGATAATTTATAAAAAAGGATCAGATTATAATCTTCCTGATCTTTCTGATTTCCTTCTAATTGCTTTACCTGTTTAATTGAAACTGTGTTTCTTTTATTCTGTGCTCAATATTTGAAAGTTGAATTTCTTAATTTAATTATTATTAATATGAAGCATTTGACACTTTTAAATTTGGTATTGAGGCAACGTGCTAAAAATTGTAAAATAATATTTTTGTTGAGTTATTCATTCCCGAATAATTTGTGTGATTTTCATACTCATTGTGATTGAGCTATGAGCTCCTTATTGTGGAAAATATTATTGTTGTTGATTTATTTTGGCAAGTCGAAATATTTGGGCACTTGAGGTACAAATTGTGATATATTGTGATATTGATACGCATGCAGTGATATAAGGTCTGGGTGTTGAAATACATGCGGTGAGATAAGGGTGGCTTGATACGCGTAGCTAGTAGGGGAACTACTAGAAGTCATGTGGTGTGATAAGGGTGGCTAAAATACAGGATGCTATTTCAGAAAAAAAAATGTTTTCTTTAAAATTAAATGTGAAGGCTCCCACGGTGATATAAGGAAATAAGATATTGTGAATTTATTTATGATTTGGGACTACGAGGCGGTACCTCGGGAGTGCCCTTGTTGATATTTCTTTATGGGCCTTTGGTTATTTTGGTGATTTTCTTAAAGTTGTAAATTTCTGTTTTTCCTTCCGCGAGGTATTGTTTGCCCTTATTCTGTGTAGTAAAATTGTGACATACTACTTACTTGATTTATTCTCATTGTAATTTTTATTATTATATTGTTAAACTTTTCACCCTGTCTTTTATTATTCTAGTAGGTCCTGACCTGACCTCGTCACTACTCTACCGGGGTTAGGCTTGGCACTTACTGGGTACCGCTGTGGTGTACTCATACTACGCTTATGCACATCTTTTTGTGCAGATCCAGGTACTTCCTACCAGCCCAGATATCAATGAGCTACCTGTGTACGGAGACTTTGAGGTATATCTGCCAGCGTCCGCAGACTCCGGAGTCCCCTTCTGTCCTTATTATGTTGCTTCTTTATTTTATTTAGACTCTGATATATAGAGACATTGAGAAAAAATTCTTAGAATCTTGTGACTTATTCCTACCGAGTTTTGGGAGTTGTAATTATGTGAATTGCAGATTTATTTATTTCAGATTTTTATTGTTATTCCGCATTGATAGGCTTACCTAGTCTTAGAGACTAGGTGCCATCACGACATCCTACAGAGGGAATTTGGGGTTGTGACAAGTTGGTATCAGAGCTCTAGGTTTATAGGTGTTATGAGTCACAAACATGTTTAGTAAAGTCTCGCGGATCGTACAGAGACGTCTGTAATTATCTTCGGGAGGCTAAGGACCTATTAGGAAATGTTCACTTCTTTGATTCCTTATCGTGCTCATTTGTTGACTTCGAAGTTCTAAACCATTGTCTTTCTATTCTCTCACAGATGGTGAGGACATGCACAACTGGATCCGATTATCAAACACTCGCGCCCCCTGTTGGAGCCGTAAGAGGCCGGGGTCGGGACAACGGTCATGCCAGAGGCCGAGGAAGACCACATGGTGCATCCAGAGCACCTGCACGAGCCGCTGCAACAGAGCCACTAGTAGCTCCAGTTGGATAGCAGGCACCTGAGACGCCTGTTACTACCCCTGCACTTCAGGAGACTCTTGCCCTGTTTCTGAGCATGTTTGGCATTCTAGCTTAGGCAGGGTTGATTCCACTTGCTCCTGCCATATATCAGGCTGGGGGAGGAGCACAGAGTCCCGCCGCCCGTACCCCAAAGCCACCATCCTAAGTTGACCATGCCCAGAGGTTATACCAGTGCAACCAGTTGTCCCAGTTCGGACCGAGGCTAGAGCAGCAGTTTCAGAGAGGGAGCAACTCAGGCTCAACTCCTATTGTAAGGGATTTTCTTGATGTATTTCCAACGGATCTTCCGGGTATGCCACCCGACATGGATATTGAATTTGACATTGATTTGTTACCGGGCACTCAACTCAATTTTATTCCACCATATCGTATGGCCCCAGCAAAATTGAAGGAATAAAATGAGCAGTTATATGAGCTGCTTGATAAGGGTTTTATTCGACCTAGTGTATCGCCTTAGGGTGCTCCTATCTTATTTGTGAAGAAGAAGGATGGTTCTATGCGAATGTGTACTGATTGCCGCCAGATGAACAAGGTTACAGTGAAGAACATGTATCCATTGCCATGTATTGATGACCTATTTGATCAGCTTCAGGGTGCCAGAGTGTTCTCTAAGATTGACTTACGTTTGGGCTATCATCAGTTGAAGATTCGGGAGCTAGATATCCTGAAGACTGCCTTCAGGACTCGGTATGGTCATTATGAGTTCCTTGTAATGTCATTTGGGTTGACCAATTCCCCAGCAATATTTATGCACTTAATGAATATTGTATTTTAGCCCTATCTTGATTCTTTCATCATTGTGTTTATTGACGACATTCTGGTGTACTCCCGGAGTCGGGAAGATCATAAGTAGCACCTGAGTACTGTGCTTCAGACTTTGAGAGAAAAGAAGTTGTATGCAAAATTTTCAAAGTGTGAATTTTGGCTTGATTTAGTAGGATTTTTGGGTCATGTGGTAATTAACAAGGGGATCCAGGTAGATCCGAAGAAAATTGAAGTAGTGCAGAGTTGGCCCAGACCGTCCACAACTACCGAGATCCGGAGTTTCCTTGGTTTGGTAGGGTATTATCGCCGATTTGTAGATAGTTTCTCTTCTATTGCTGCACCTATGACCAAATTGACCCAGAAGGGTGCTCCGTTCAGGTGGACCGAGGAATTGTAGATTGTTTCTCTTCTATTGCTGCACCTATGGGAGATGACGGTGTATTACAGATGCAGGGCAGGCTATGTGTGCCTAATGTAGATGGTTTGCGTGAGCTGATTCTCCAGGAGGCTCACAGTTTGTGGTACTCCATTCATCCAGGTGCCGCGAAGATGTATCAGGACTTGAGACAACACTTTTTTTGGAGGTGGATGGAGATAAACATAGTGGAGTATGTCTCCCGGTGCCTAAATTGTCAACAGATGAAATATGAGCATCAACGACCGGGTGGATTGCTTCAAAAGTTGGAGATTCCAGAATGGAAATAGGAGCAGATCACTATGGATTTCGTTGTTGTGCTCCCACAGACTCAGAAGAAGTTCGATGTAGTTTGGGTGATTGTGGATAGATTGACCAAGTCAACTCATTTTATTCTAGTAGTTACTACTTACTTTTCGGAGCAGCTGGCCCAAGTTTATATTCGCGAGATCATCAGGCTTCATGGCGTACCCGTATCTATCATCTCTGACCGGGGTACGTAGTTTACATCACGGTTTTGGAGGGCCGTACAACGTGAGTTGGATACTCGGGTAGAGTTGAGTACAACATTTCACCCTCAAACGGGCGGGCAATCCGAATGCACTATTTAAATACTGGAGGACATACTTTGTGCATGTGTAATAGATTTTGGGGGTGCTTGGGATCAGTTCTTACCACTTGCGGAGTTTGCTTACAAAAATAGTTGTCAGTCGAGCATTCAGATGGTGCCGTATAAGGCCTTATATGGTAGGCGAAGCCGGTCTCCAGTGGGTTGGTTTGAGCTGGGCGAAGCTAGACTATTGGGTACGAACTTGGTTCAAGATTCTTTGGAAAAGGTTAAATTGATTCAGGATCGGCTTAGTACAGCCCAATCTAGACAAAAGAGTTATGCGGGATCGGAAGGTTTGTGATGTTTCATTCATGGTTGGTAAGCGGGTCTTGCTCCGGGTTTCACCCATGAAGGGTGTTATGAGGTTCGGGAGGAAGGGCAAGTTGAACCCGAGGTATATTAGGCATTTTGAGATTCTTGAAAGAATTGGAGAGGTGGCTTATAGACTCGCACTATCACCTAATCTCACTACAGTTCATCCAGTGTTCCATGTTTCCATGCTCTGGAAGTATCACGACGATCCTTCTTATGTGTTACACTTCAGCTCAGTCCAGTTGGACAAGGATCTATATTATGTCGAGGAACCAGTGGCCATTTTGGACAGACAAGTTAGAAAGTTGAGATCGAAGACCATCGCCTCAGTAAAAGTACAGTGGAAGGGTCATCTGGTCGAGGAGGCGACTTGGGAGACCGAGCATGAAATGTGCATCTGTTATCCTCATATTTTCACCACTCCAGGTATAATTCTAAACCCGTTCGAGGACTAACGTTTGTTTAAGAGGGGGAGGATGTAACGACCTGGCCAGTCGTTTTAAAAGTTATAGCCCCGTTTCCCCATTTACAGCTCCTTCTGTACTTTATAACTGTTATGTGACTTGCCGGAGTAGTTGGTTCGGGTCCGAAGATATTTCAGAATGAATTGAGACACTTAGTCTCAAGGTTGAAAGCTTAAGTTGAAAAGGTTGACCGAATGTTGACTTATGTGAAAACGACCCCGGAATATAATTTTGATGATTCCAATAGCTCCGTATGGTGATTCTGGACTTAGGAGTATGTCCGAAATATTATTTGGAAGTCCGTAGTGGAATTAGGCTTGAAATGGTGAAAATTAAATTTTTGGGAAGTTTGATCCGGGAGTTGACTTTTTGATATCGAGGTCGAAATCCAATTCTGAAAATTTTCATAGCTCCGTTATGTCATTTATGACTTGTGTGCAAAATTTGAGGTCAATCAGACTTGATTTGATAGGTTTTGGCATCGAATGTAAAAATTAGAAATTCTTATGTTCCTTAATCTTGAATTGGGTATGATTCGTGGTTTTAGCATTGTTTTATATGATTTGAGGTTTCAACTAAGTTCGTATGATGTTTTAGCACTTGTTGGTGTATTTGGTTGAGGTCCCGAGGGCCTCAGGTGAGTTTCGGATGGTTAACAGATCAATTTTGGAATTTGCATTCCAGTTGAAGAATGCTGGTTTTCTTTCATTGATTTCCTTCTACGCGATCGCATGAGAATGTCCGCGATCGCGTCAAGCGCGTAGGGTCTTTTCTGGGCAGGTTGCAATTTCACTTCGCGATCGCGGGACCTTGTCTACGATCGCATAGAAGAAATCACTGGGGAGAATGTTTAAGTTCTGATTTTCCATTTTACCAAATTGGAGCTCGGGAAGAGGCGATTTTCGGGATATTTTCAAGGAAAATGTTGGGGTAAGTATTCTTAACTCAATATTGATCAGATTACCCGAATCTATGGTTGTTTTAACATTTAATTGGTGAATTAAGTTGGAAGATTTAGAAAACCCTCCTGGTTTAATTTGAATATTTGAGGGTCGAGTTGATGTCGGATTTTAGTAAAATTTATATGGTTAGACTCGTGGTTGAATGGGCGTTCGTACTTTGTAAATTTTGTCGGGTTCCAAGATGTGGGTCCTACAGGCAATTTTTGGGTTAAATTTTGAATTTTGTTAGAAAATTTGTATTTTCATATGGAATTCATTCCTATAATTTGTATTGATTGAATTTAATTAATTATGATTAGATTCGATCCGATCGGAGTCGAAAAATCGAGAAAAATGCATACTACTTGACTGATTGAGCGTGGTTTGAGGTAAGTGACTTGTCTAACTTTGTATGGGGGAAATTTTCCTTAGGATTGGTATTGATATGAAAATGTTGATGTGTTGAAAGTCGTGTACACGAGGTGACGAGTGTATACACGGGCTAAATAGGGAAGATTATGTCTTTAAATTGTATAGAGCATTGTTGCATATTAATTAAATTATTTTATTTGGTTATATTCATCGTCATTCATCTATAATTGAAACTCTGTTTCTTTTATTCTGTGCTCAATATTTGAAAGTTGAATTTCTTAATTTAATTATTATTAATATGAAGTATTTGACACTTTTAAATTTGGTATTGAGGCAACGTGCTACAAATTATGAAATAATATTTTTGATGAGTTATTCATTCTCGAATATTTTATGGGATTTTTATACTCATTGTGATTGAGCCATGAGCTCCTTATTGTGAAAACTATTGTTGTTGTTGATTTATTTTGGCAAGTCGAAATATTTGGGCACTTGAGGTGCAAATTATGATATATTGTGATATTGATACGCATGCGGTGGTATAAGGTCTGGGTGTTGAAACACATGCGGTGAGATAAGGGTGACTTAATACACGTGGCTAGTAAGGGAGCTGCTAGAAGTCATGCGGTGTGATAAGGGTGGATAAAACGCGGGATGCTATTTTAGGAAAAATATTTTCTTTAAAATTAAATGTGAAGGCTCCCGCGGTGATATAAGAAAATGAGATATTGTGAATTTATTTATGATTTGGGACTACGAGGCGGTACCTCGGGAGTACCTTTGTTGATATTTCTTTATGGCTGCATTTGCCTTTGGTTATCTTGGTGATTTCCTTAAAGCTGTAAATTTCTGTTTTTCCTTCCGCGAGGTATTGTTTGCCCTTATACTGTGTAGTTAAATTGTGACATACTACTTACTTGATTTATTCTCATTGTCATTTTTATTATTATATTGTTAAACTTTCTACCCTGTCTTTTATTATTCTAGTAGGGCCTGACTTGACCTCGTTACTACTCTACCGATGTTAGGCTTGGCACTTACTGGGTACCGTTGTGTTGTACTCATACTATGCTTTTGCACATCTTTTTGTGCAGATCCAGGTACTTCCTACCATCCCAGATATCAGTGATCTACCTATGTACGAAGACTGCGAGGTATATCTGCCAGCGTCCGTAGACTCCAGAGTCCCCTTCTATTCTTATTATGTCGCTTCTTTATTTTCTTTAGACTCTGATATATAGAGACATTGAGAAAAAAATTCTTAGAAGCTTGTGACTTATTCCTACCGGGTTTTGGGAGTTGTAATTATGTGAATTGCAAATTTATTTATTTCAGATTTCTATTGTTATTCCGCATTGATAGGCTTACTTAGTCTTAAAGACTAGGTGCCATCACGACATCCTATAGAGGGAATTTGGGGCCATGACAGTAAAATACCTCTGGTTCAGCCACTCGATTCCAACTCTGTTTCACAAATCTATGCATATATTTATACCCCAGTGTCTCTCCAATTACATACACAATCAGTGCACTCTTCCATTTTTGAATTTCTTTATTAACATCATCCTTTTCTAGTTGAACTACAACTTTCCCCTCAACAATAGCAGGAGGGATGTAATCTAATTTTAAACCATTTTCTGAACTACGATTACCTGCAAAGAGGGATGTCCATGCAATTGGCTTCTCTTTGTTCTCAATTGTTGGTTCCAGATTTGGGATGTCCTTACTTGTACTCGCATGATCTGTTGCTTTCGATGGTGTAATCTCTGTACACATTCTTAGAGATGGGCTAGTGCTCAAGTCCAGTCTCTTTGCGGTGTGTTGCACTGTAGCACCCCGAAATTTTTTGAAATACTTAAGCGCTATTAAGAAAGTTGATGTGCGCTAATTATATTACTTTGTGTGTAGTCGAGGACTCTTAATATGATGGATAGTAATTGGATATGATAATAAGTGTACAAGGCATATTATAAGTAATGTGGGGTCTAAGAAGAGCCCTAAGTCTAAGTCAAGTTGGAAATTACATGATAGACTAAAGTTCTAAATGAGTACGCACAAGACTAAACTTTGGACAAGAATATATACACACATATATAAATGGTTATGTGATGAAAAACCTATAAAATGAAAGATTTTCGAGTCTAGTTTCTAACGCTTCAAACCGTTTGTTATTTGGACATTCCTACAAGAAGTTATGACCAAATTACCAAATATTAGCGGAGGAGTCCGCTGTAACGACCCGACTTGTCATTTTAAGAATTTATGCCCTGTTCAGTGACTTAAGGTCTCAAGCAGCTTCGCAATATGTATTATGACCCGTGGGTGTGGTCGAGTTTGATTTACTGAAGATTCCGCATTACATTAAAAGAACAATCCTTATTTAGAAGCTTAAATGGAAAGAGTAGACCGAAGAGTTGACTTTTGAGTAAACGACTCCGGAATAGAATTTTGATGATGTCAATAACTCCGTATGGTGATTTTGGACTTAGGAGCGTTTCTGAAAAATTATTTGGAGGTCCGTAGTGGAATTAAGCTTGAAATGGCGAAAGTCGAATTTTCGGAAAGTTTGACCGGGGGGGATGACTTTTTGATATCGGGGTCGAAATTCAATTCTGAAAATTTTATTACCTCAATTAAGTCATTTATGACTTGTGTGCACAATTTGAGGTCAATCGGACTTGATTTGGTAGGTTCCGGCGTCGTTTGTAAAAATTAGAAGTTTCAAAATTCATTAGGCTTGAATTGGGGTATGATTCGTGTTTTTAGAATTGTTTGATGTGATTTAAAGGCTCTACTAAGTTCGTATGATGTTTTAGGACTTGTTGGTGTATTTGGTTGGGGTCTCGGGGGGCCTCGGGTGAGTTCGGATGCTTAACGGATCGAATTTGGATTTGGAAGAGGAGCTGAAGCAACTGGGCATCTGGTATGATCGCACCTGCGCAAAAAAGGGCCGCAGGTGCGAGCTCGCGGATGTGAGGCAGTAGTCGCTGAAGCGGAAATACATGGGTTGGCAAGGCACCGTGGGTGCGAAAACTTTTGCCGTGGGTGCGAAGACCGCAGGCGCGAAGAAATCACCGCATGTGCGGACATCGCAGTCGCGAGAGTTTTGCCGCGGGTGCGAAGATCGCAGTTGCGAAGTAATCACCACAGGCGTGGACATCGCATGCGCGAGAGTTTTGCCGCAGGTGCGAAGAAATCACCGCGGGTGCGAAAACCCCCGGGCAGTACAAAAAATAGAGGGGTTCCGAGCTTTTGCCATTTTTGGGCATTTCAAGCTTGGGTTGGGAAATGTTTGAGCAACGTTTTCACGGGAAAATTGGAGGTAAGTCCCTTGTGATCATTTCTACTCCATAATATTAAATTATCATCGAATAATCCGACTAGATTACATGTTTTTTAGGTGTAAATCGGGGGTTTGAACCTAGGGATTTGAAAATAAGATTTGAAGATTTGGAGGTCGAGTTGAGGTCGGATTTTGGTAAAATTGGTATAATTAGACTCGTGGTTGAAGGGGCTTTCGGATTTTGTAACTTTTGTCGGGTTTCGATACGTGGGCCCCACAGTCGATATTTGAGTTAAATTTTAGATTTTGTTGGAAAATTATTATTTTCATATGGAATTTATTCCTATAATTAGTATTTACTGAATTGAATTTAATCTGAATAGATTTGAGCTGTCCGAAGGATTTATTCAAGCAAGACGACTATTTTGGAATATCAGCATAACTTCAAAAAGGTAAGTGTCTTGCTTAACCTCGAGTGGGGGAATTACCCCTTAGGCATCGAGTCTTATGTGCCATTTGTAAAATGTGAAAAGCCATGTACGCGAAGTGACGAGTACGTACTCGGCTTATATGTGCAAATTTTATTGAGTTAAAGTCTTGAGCATATTGTGTAGTAAATTGGATAATTGTTGGGATTTATTTAGTCATCTATTTGCCATGCTTCAATTCGCATTTATTGAATTTATTTTTATATGACGATTTGATGTGCATGTTACATGTATATTTTTGTGAATTCCGTGAGTTTGATGGTTTGATATTCGTGGGATCTAATTTCATTATGGATTTTTTTCTCTGCAAATAATTAATTAAATGAGTTTAAGTAGAGGTGTTAATATAATTATCTAAATTTGGATTAATGAAGGTGTGCCCTATGTTGACTATTTTTCTATCTCTGTTGATTGTTTTTGAGGTTTTATATATATTGTGTGGAGCCTTGGGCTATTTGTTATGAAATTAATTGATTGTATTATATCCTTGGAATTTGTTGTGGCCATTGGGCAAACTGTAATGTGAATTGATTTTTGTTATGTTGCCGTGATAATTTTTCGTGTAAATTGTTGTGTTGTGTGAGTTGTTATTTTGAGGACATAAGGGTGGCATTCCATTGTTGATATTATATGGGTATAAGGGTGGTATTTCACAATTGTTATGTATGTTGGGATGTTGTTTGGGCGGAGTGATAAGGGTGGCTATATGAGCGATAAGGGTGGCTATAGGAGTGATAATGGTGGATATAGGAGAGATAAGAGTGGCTATAGGAGCGATAAGGGTGGCTATTGATATTGTCAGGGCGGAGGGATAAGGGTGGCTATAGGAGGGATAATGGTGGCTATTGTCAGGGTGATATGTGATGATGTGGAGTTGTTGCGTTGGTGATTGTTATGTGATATTGTGATTTTTCTTGTGTTTATTTTTATATCTTGTGCCATTGGTCTTGGTGTTGGTAAATTGGTTATAGTCTGATTTATGTTGAAATTGGGGTCTGTGGCCATTTCCAGACTGATTATGATATGAAAATGTGGGTACGAGGTGCCGGGAGTAAATAATGATGATATTGGCACGTGAATTGTCCGTGCAGTTGTGATATGAAATGAGAGCACGAAGTGCCGGGGAAGTATGATGATTTAACTATAGGCACAAAGTGCCGTGAAAATATGAAAGAGGGCTGAGACCGGTGTTTATAAAAAAAAAAAAATGAAAATGGGATGAGACCCGTGGTTGAATGATTATGAAATGAAGTGTCACATGGGGACTTTTTAATTGAAATAATTATATTCAAAATACTTATTTGAAAGCATTTTTATTCAAAACGATTTATTGGAAATGATTACATTTGAAAGATATTTACTTAAAAAAATTATATTTGAGAGAGATTTATTTAAAGGAAGTATATTTTAAAGATATTTATTTAAAGAAATTATATTTGAAAGAGAGTTATTTGAAAGAATTATATGTAAAAGATATTTATTTGAAAAAAATGAATTAATTGGGTGTAATTGTATTTATTAATTATTGAGCGAAATAATGGTGTTCTTGTTGTCTGTTGTGCATATCACTGGTTGTTTTATGTTACCCTTATTGTTATTTGTTTCTTATTATTTTATATATTATATTGCACAGGTTATTAGACTAGTGAGTGTCTTGACTGTACCTCGTCTCTACTCCACTGAGGTTAGTCTTGATTCTTACTGGGTACCGACCGTGGTGTACTCATACTACACTTCTACACATTTTTGTGCAAAGCCAGGTATTGGAGATATCGGACTTGAGCAGAGTTAAAGTGGGATCGTAAGGATTCAAGGTAGAGCTGCTTAGTCGACCCAGTCCCTTAGAGTCTTTTCCTTTCATTGTACTGTTAATTTTTAATAAAAAAGTATTGTATATTCGATCCTCGTGATCATCCCACGTATTCAGTTAGAGTTCATGACTCAGTACTACCAGTCTTGGGAGGTTATATATATTCATATTTGTTCCGCTGTTAGTTTTGATTACTATTTAATTTAAAAAAAAATGGCTTCAAAAATGTAATTGAAATCGGCGTACCTAGTCTTAAAGACTAGGTGCCATCACGACGCCTGTGGTGGGATTTTGGGCCGTGACATCCGCGGATGCGAAGGCCGCGTTCAAAAGAGAGGCTGGCAGTGAAGTGCTGCCATAGCGTCCAGGTCCGCATCCGAGCTTCAAAGATGAGTGAAGTGGGGATGCGAAGCATCCAGGGCCACATCCGTAACCCAGAAATCTTGGCCTATAAATGCAAGGTCGGGGGAGGAGATTATTTTGAGTATTTGGGGATTAAGGTTCTTGAGGTGAAGGGGCTATTTTGAGCTCAAATCAAGTCCAATAAACCAAGGTAAGTTATTGATGATAATTTGGGTTGATTATTACTCAATATACATGAGTTCTAACATCATTCTTACATCCAAATACTAGATTTCTTAATCAAATCTTCAAGAACACAAAAATCATCAAAGTTGATTTTTTAAGATTGATCTACTAGAAGTAATTCCAATACTTTAAACTCATTTAATATGAGTAGTTATAAGTATTTGAAGCATTTGTTACAAGTTTTAATGGTTGAAAGATTGGATTATAAAACTCTAGTTCATGGCATGAATAGTACTTTTGAGAAAATAAGAGAGAAGATGAATGGTAATCTTGACGATAAAATTTATGAATGCAATGAACCTATGGAATTATTTGTGTAGCAAAAGATGGAAGTGATCAACTAAGTAATCACCCGAATTGTATATTTTGTAAGTGTTGATTATGGAAGACGGTGAATAGTAACTTGGTGGCAATGGACAATTGATGTAGTATCATTAATGACTTCGAATGGCTATTAAAACATAAGAATGAAGTTAAATGGTCTAGCATGTAAAACTATTTAGCGATTTGAGTTGTTGGAGGCTTATAGCTAACTTGTGAGTCATATATGGATGTTGATCAATATCTTAGGTCATATTTTGATGTAATTAGGATATCTAATTGTAGA